AAAAAAAAGACATTTGTATTCTACACCTAGTAAATTTCACATGTACCCTTGTAAGATGCACAGTAGGTGTGGTCCCACCAACTACTCTCCCTCCACTCATGCTTCCCTCTTCCTTCCCCTCCCCTTTCCCCTTTGTGAACACCCAGCTATTTTTTTGTTGCAGCCACCATTGTTGTTTGTGGACTCAGGCTGGACTCTAACCCACCGGCTCAGGTGTATGTGGCTGGCGCCTTAGCCATTCGAGCCCACCTGGGTATTTTTAGAGACAAGGTTTTACCCTGGCTCAGGGCGGTTTTGAACCTGTGAGCTCAGGCTATCCACCCACCTTGGCCTCCCAGAGTGCTAGGATTACAAGCATGAGCCATGGCTCAAGGCTGGAACTCTGTCTCAACAATAACAACGACAAAAAAATCAAGCACTTGGCATGGCACCTATGGCTCAGTGGCTAGGGCGTCAGCCACATGCACCAGAGCTGGCCAGTTTGAACCTGGTCCCGGCCAGCTAAACAACAATGACAACTATCAACTACAACAATAAAATAAACATGGCTCACTGAGTAGGGAACCGGCCCCATATACTGAGGGTGGAGGGTTCAAACCCTGCCCTGGCCAAACTGTAACAACAACAACTAAAAAAATTGCTGGGTGTTGTGGCGGGAGCCGGTAGTCCCAGCTACTCGGGTGGCTGAGGGAAGAGAATCACCTAAGCCCAAGAGCTGGAGATTGCTGTGAGCTGTGATGCCACCACACTCTACCAAGGACAGCATAGTGAGACTCTGTCTCAAAAAAAAAAAAAAAAAATCAAGCACTTAAAATGAAGAATGGGGCTGAGTGCCCGTAGCTCAGTGGTTAGGGCGCGGGCCACATGCATTGGGGCTGGTGGGTTAGAACCTGGCCCGGGCCTGCTAAAAAAAAACAAAAACAAGAACAAAATAGCCGCATTGCGGTGGGTGCCTGTAGTCCCAGCTACTAGGGAGGCTGAGGCAAGAGAATTGTTTGAGCCCAAGAGTTTGAGGCTGCTATAAGCTATGATGCCATGACACTCTACTGAGGGCAACAAAGTGAAACTCTGTCTCAATTAGAAAAAAAAAAAAGTGTAGAATGGGGCTCACACCTGTAATACCAGCACTTTAGGAGGCCAAGGTGGGTGGATCACTTGAGCTCAGGAGTTCAAGATCAGCCTAGCAAAAGAGAGACCTTGTTTTTTAAAAAACAGACAGCATTGCGGTAGGCACCTGTATTCCTATCTACTTGGGGTCTGAGGCAAGAAAATCTCTTGAGCCCAAAAGTTTGAGGTTGCTGTGAGCTATGACCCCATGGCACTCTGCCCAGGGTGACAAAGTGAGACTCTGTCTCAAAAAATATAACATGAAATAAAAATAAATAAATAACATAAAATCTAGCATGGTACCATCAAGTTGGTATAGTGCAGTAGTTCAGAATTCAAATACTGCATTTGTACCCATGTCCATCATCCTGAGACTTCAAGGCTTTTTTTTTTGAGACAGAATCTCATTCAGTTACCCTGGGTAGAGTGCTGCGGTGTCATAGCTCAGAGGAACCTCAAACTCCTGGGCTCAAGCAATCCAACTGCCTTGGCATCAAGAGTGCTAAGATTGGCTCGGCGCCTGTGGCTCAAGTGGCTAAGGCGCCAGCCACATACACCTAAGGTGGCGGGTTCGAATCCAGCCCAG